TGCAATAATAATAGCAAATTATGACCCATGACGATCCTTAATTAAAAATGGGTTTCTTTTCTTAATAAGTCCAGTGATAAAAGTATCGATAGCATCCCGGTTAGAATATTACGCCCATTCAATGAAGGTTTAGTAAATTAGTTGGATATTAATATTTTGTATAAATACTAAAAAGGCCTTGGTCAAACGGCCCAACACAAAATTTGTGAGGTTATGAGAGCAAACTAAATTTCTTCCGCATTTTCAAACCAACATCCACGTTGGCATTTTTCACCAACGATCAGTCTTTTTCCTAATTACCGAACACTGTAGCTTAAATAAAGGGCAATTCCGGGTTTAGGTTGATAAGCTATAGACTCATATGATTTGAGGATGACGTTTTCCGTTTGCCTGTGTCTATTCAATGAATGCAAACCTTTGAAAGTATTAATTGGATGATTGCAATGGTAATGGTTGGTGGAGGTGGAATCATTATACGATGTTGATCACGGAAGATTGAAAAGATTGAAGCTATATTTTTGTCACATGTGGGTAGATATTCATGTTAGCCCCTCACGGCTACCACAACCACAGCAATGATCGACGGCGCGGCTCGGGACAACCGGGTCACATTGGATTGGTCTCAGCGTCTGTCTGTCTGTCTGCACACCGACTCTCTCTAAACTATTTTTTATTCATTCACGATCAGATTTCAGCAACAAAAGATTACCCCCGTTTCCAGCGATCACAGGAACAGGGAGAAAGGCATTGGTCGACGATTCAGGTTTAAGAGGCGTGGGCAGATGAGGTTACAGAGTGCATCCGTTGGTGCATCCTAACTGGATAGGTACTTTTACGTTGTCCCACCTCTAGTTCTAGCCCGAAACTGTTTTACACATTACTTCAGGCTAGTCCTAGAGGGTCGCGGAATTATCACTTGGATAAAATCCATTGGTGATTGGCGGGATTTGAACCCAGGACCTCGAGCTCTGAAGCCAAAGGGTTGTTAATATTATAACCAATTGTGTAGGACGTTGCAAATAAGGTGAAATGTAGTTATTTTTGAAACTACAATCAATTTGGTTTAAATAATCACTGAGTTTTGGCAATGGCAGAGGTTTAGGCGGAAACGGTTTTGAATTTATCTAACCATTACTTAGCAAGATGAATCTGTATCTGGCTTATATATATTTATAAATATTTATCTTGTAACTTGAATCTCATGTATTATTGACTGTAAAAATGGTGTTTACCGTATAAATAAATAAATGTAAAGAAATTGAAATTTTCACGAACTACGATAAAATATACTCGTTTAAAACTGTATTTTCATTGCATTTTTTGTAGGTATAAAAATGTAGGGTAAAAAAATACATTTCTTTCCAAAAATAAATGAGAAGAAAGTATAATTTTTTTTTAATTCCACTTAATTTGACACTGTTTCTTTAAATGTAAATTTCAGGGAGCAGGTAGATAATAAAAATACCTTATATCTTGCATGTTTATTGCCAAGCCCACGAAATGCAATTTTAATCAGCGATATCTTGTCGGTCTTGAATTTTAATTGCAAGACATTATAAAGTTATCTCTCAACACTGAGTGTAGGAGTTTTGCCAACGGGTATCAGGTAGAAAGGGTCCCCATCCATGAATTCCACATACTGCGGAGTTTTGCCAACGGTTGCGGGTTGCGCGAGAGGGGGAGGAGGAGAGAGAGAGATTACACGTGACCGTGAGGGTGGCTTCCGCTAGGGGTGGACAAACCAGGCAGGATGCTGACTGTGTTCAAAGTAATGGAGTTATGCACTTCTGACTGTGAAAGGATATGTATTGAATTTTTAACCTAACCTAACCTAATCTAACCTAACCTAACCCACTGCGACAAGCGCATAACTGCCAAGCGTAGACAACCCTGACAATCGCTCTCCTTCCCTCCGTCACACTCTTTCTCCCACCACCACCGTTGGCAAATCTCCGCACCAAGAGGTGGCCGAAGGCATCCCCCCCATCTACCTGACACCCGTTGGCAAAACTCCGGTTCCCCTCAACACTTTATACAAAGGAATTTTAGCAATTTTGATACCCTTAACTATTCCTGTAAAACCTATTACGATTACGCAATATACAAATCTGCTTGCTTGTATTTAAATCATGGACAGATTTGCAGAAGTGTAATCAGTTGCTAAAAAATGTATATTTTATATTTCTTTAGGGTTGTAATTGTTTACAATAAAATCAAAACTAGTTAAAAAAATTAGTCAATAAAGCCACTTGTTATGGTTAAATTTAAAATTCTGTATATTTCATCCCCAATGGAGCTAATATCTGCAACCTCAAATGTAGGTAAAGAATAACAGTCTATAGCTAGGCTTATAGTAACATTACTCACACAACTTTCCTAAAGTTTAAATAAACAACATGAATATAGTGAACGATGGGATGCAAAGGGAAGTATAATGTGAAATAATTTAATAACTGAGAGACAAAACCAGTGAGTTGTAATTATAATAAATGATCATTCTGCATCTGTGGTGGGTAAATAGCTGCAGCTGAGTTGCTTCTGCAAATCCCCAGACACACACAGGTTATTACAGTCTATGTGGTGGTTGCCTAACACAAGTTTAATGTCTGAATTGCACACTGTCACTGTTTTGCATTGAACATTTTTTTATGTAAGGACTGTCCTATAATTTTGGTTAAATATTTGTCGTGAGGTATTGCTTATAATTATATGAGGTATTGTAAATCTTGTCACCTATGAGATTTTAGAGGTATCATCATTATGAAAGGGAAAAATAGTAGACAGTGAACTTAGTGTTTTGATCCAGGATAAAGATGAGTTTTTGATTATGCTTTATTGTCTTTCACATATTATTATTGTGAACATCTTTCCCTCAGGAAACAGGGACACATCAAATAAAACTTTACAAGAACCCACTCCTACACAAAGGATTTATTGGATTTAAGTCTTCAGAATGTGAACTGTGCCTCATTCCCTGTAAACCTTGGGATAAATGATATTTTACTTTCTTCCCCTATACGTTACTATAAAATGGAGAAAGTATTAACATACCGGTAACTAATTGTGTTTGTAAACTTTTTGTTGAGTTTTTCTTGTAACTATGGGTTTTGGGACCCCTGAACCCAAAATAGTAGTGTTTGCAGTGATCAGGATATTTGTTTTATAGGTAGAATTTGTTTTTCTATACACATTTCATGTAGTTGTTTCAGTATATATGTGTGTAAATGTTTACAGAGATACAGACAGAACCTGTAGTCCGATTTTACTGAAATGTGGTATATGGGTACTAATCCATAAAACCTCCAGTGGTTTTTTTTTAATTTTTTTTGTAATCTTTCATGGTAATTTTCCAATAAAATTTTACAAAATAGCCAGAAAGATTTAGATTAAAATTAAGTAAGTTATGGCCATTTGAACTCTAAATAAAATGGTACAACCTCCAATTCTCTAAAAATATAGTTAAAAAGTTATTGCGATTTTTGTAATTTTCACCATAAAATATCATAGTTTTACTCCTAACACACCCATTAGAAGGAGAAGGGCTGTTGACAAGCTAATGGGAGAAAGTATGAGTAGTTTGCTGATGCTTTTATTTTACTACATTTTTTCTTGTACGGTTCTAAATTACTCGTAATATCTACTGATTATTTTGAATATGTATGTAAACACACATAACCACAACCTTTGACTTTGAATGATGCTAGCAGACTAATCATACCATGGCAAAAGTTGAAGCCCGATTTGTTCCTGTTTGTACTGTATAATGTTTAAAATGCACTAAACTTATCTCGACTAAATATTTCTTATTTACTTTAAAGTGAAATTCTGTTCACATTCTTTATTGTTCGGTTACCTGAAGAAACCCGTAATTATATTTGTTTATTATTGAAATTGTTGAAAAAAAAAAAAATAACTAGAAACAAAACATTCAACACTAAAACATCCTCTATACAAAAAAATTTAAAATTGTCATAATGATAATAAGACTGTATGGGAGTATTTTAAATCTATGATGTAGCTTAATGGAACATTTTTGACATATTTATACCAAAGTGTGTTTCTTAGTATTGAAGTCTAAGAGAAGCTCTGAAGTCATATAAGAAAACTGTCATCTTAAAGGTGCATCTTTTGTACTTAAGATATTATCTGATCAAAATTAGTATTAAGTCAAGTTTTCTAATAGTTCCTGACTAAGTGTTTCCCATTATTGTGAGATCTAGTTGTTCAAAATTAGCGCAGAATATAAAATTATGTTAAATGAGTGAATCGCTCAACTCCTATTGCTCTTATTTGTACCATGAAGAATTTAATGCTGTGTTTAGTAGTAAATATCCCATTGTGGAGTTCATCATCGACAGAAACACATGTTGCAGTGTGTAGTCTACAACTACACAAGATGACTACAAATGAGCATGTCAGCCACTTGCCATGCCACACCAGGTTATCTATCGGGTTATCAAAATGTAAAACACAAACTCAGTGCTTATTAGACTTCAAGTCACCATCATCGCATGAGTTAAAAATAAATTTGGTGGGCCAGAAAACTATGGTGAATCATGTTAAGCCCCTATAAAAATATTTATACATACACATTTTAGCTCTCAATTAGGCACTGTACTAAATTCAATCTTTTACATGTGGTTGTCAGGACCACCATACCCAAAAAAGGCCCCATTTTGAAGGTGTAAAAGACTATTCAATATAGCACAGCTTTGATACAGCCTACACTGTACAACTCTATTGGTTGAATCAATTTGTTTAACAAATATGTTTCCATATAAATCAATCTTAGTGATATACATGATGAGATTGTCAATGATGATATCAATTGGATTTGATTCCATAAATGGTAATACACATGTTAGATTGTTTTTAAATATGTTAAAAGCATGAAGTCTTATCAAAAAGTCACCTCCATTCTAATAAATTATGCAGGAAAACCCTTTTTTATTAAAGCCTGAACTAAGTAAGTTTACCACGCTAAGCTAAATTTAACTTACCAGGTTCCTTCGAGCACGCTTGAAAAGAAAGAGATATTTTTATTCAAACTGTCAAAATTGAAAACTCCTTACTGTATAAAGCACCAGTTAAAACTATTTTAATGATTAATACAGTACCGGGTACATTATTTTGTTTACACCTACCTACAATTTGTAGTAGATATTTATATAGAAACTATTTTATGAAGTCTCGCTCAAAGGATGTACAGGTATATTTAAAAAATACCTTCAAATAGGTATTACACCTACATATAATATCTTAAACTTAACAAGTCCATCATAAAGTTGAGTTTACATTTCTCTGTTCAACAGCTAGTGAAAGTGTTGCTAATGTATACATTTTTTTCTTTGCTGTTTGACAGGTATAACTTAAACATCAATATACATATATATATATATATATATATATATAAAAAATAAAAAAATAAAAAAAAACTATAAGAGATACAACGATACAACTCCAAATTGGTAGCAAAAAAAAAAAAAAAATATATATATATATAACTTTACTGGACGAAATATTATGGAAACAGATTATAAAATCAACAACCAAGAGGGGAAAACCAGTAGGCAAGTGGTCGAAGACCTTGGACACCAATAAAGACGTAGGCCTATATCCATGGCAACCAGTTAATCAACAAAGAACAACCCAACAACCTACACACAAATATGTTCACATATAGACTCACCCATTTGATATATTGTCCACAGGTATTTCCTTCATTGTTACACATAAGTCTATCACTTCTTAACACTTGATCAAGAAATAAGACCACGGCAACAATGGGATATAAACACAGCTGAGCACAATAGTGAACTGACAAGACAACTGATGCGATCAGCTGGGAATGCAGTGCTCAGTGCTACCAACCTAACAGGCACGATATTCCCGCGGTAGTGGAGAGGGAGAACCAGCTTTCCATTGTTTGGTGTTTGGTTCCAACAAAAATGCCAATAATTGTCTTTTCATCTTAAAACTTTATGAAGTAAAAGTACAGTAAATTTATAAAAAAACTATCTAGTAACAACAAGTTGACCTACTAAAATATTGAATCAACTCCCATTACTTATGCCATGGAGATTATATTTGCATACAGTGTCTAAGATACATTTTCATTTATGAAGAGTAAAACTATTTTGGAAAAAGATGTTTTCAACTCTAAATTAAAATTATGGGCCTTCAAACAAATATGTCAGCTTGAGTTGATAATTTTGTAGAAACTGTACCAATTAACTTGGTTTAAATGTTCAGGCCGCAGTTAATGGTTATTGGGTCACTCATTTTAAATATTTACTGCTTTATCAATTAAGTCGGAAAATTATTACTTCACGCTAACAAAATTCTCTTATTTAGGTAAAGGCGGATAAAAACGTGTTAAATTTGATTGGACATAGTATACACCCATAGACAAGTAATATATGAAATGATACCAAACAAAATAAAAATTGTAGTTTGTAAAAAAAATAAATAATAAATAATTGCGGTTCCCAAATCTTAACAAGGGATCTCAAGAAAACCTAACTAGCTCACTGTTATAATGTAAAAATGGTAATTGGTGGGGATAACAGCGTGTGAAAATGGACAATTACTAAACCAGTGTGCGTACCTTGCTAAATTGGTCTGTGGAAAAGCTTTCTCACTCACTAATTAACTCTATAATCATTACTATTATCAACCATTTACATTTTTGTCTAACAAGGAGAATGCGAACTGGACAATTTAGTCACATGATATACCAAGATTTATTTTTTAGGGTATAAGTAATACTATTTAATATTTTTCATAATTTTTGGTTTTTGACTATTTAATTAAAGTATTTTACTGTGTAACTAGTGTAATAGCTAAGTAATATTTAGTTTCAACTAGGAAATTGTACTCTCTTCTTCATAATTACTTATTATTTTTTGAGGTACTTTATACATAATTATTTTTCTTCTAGTTTTTAAAGCTATTTTGTCATGAATTTCAGATGCATGGAGGCTACTTTTTCCAATACAGTTTGGTTCATATTCATATTTTTTTTTTATACATTAAAGTTGTGCTTCCACTGAACAACAAATAATTTAGTTTTTACAATTTCTCTTAGACCAGTGCTAGCTCAGAACAAACAAATTCTCTCGAAACTTGGCTTTTTCCAACAAATGTCCAACACTTCATACACCATGTATGGTCATCATAATCCTACAAGGGATGTTCGGAAAGTAGCCACCATTTGGCCACTATGGAGGGAGTAGTGAGTGTAGCACGGATATTCTTGTACAAACCTCAGATCAGTCCGCAGAAGTTGATTGAGAATGATTGGTTCCTTCATTTAAAAAAGGATAACCACAAAACCTAACAAGGCCATATGAGGTGAATGATGAACTCATAAAAAGTTCATGAATAATGATATTTTCTCATTACAGAGCACTAGAGACAGAAAGGTTAGGCTACAGGAAGATACCTGAATCAATAATGGCGAATGAGAAATGATGAATGGTAGCATTTGATGTATGTCATCGATTTCCTCACTGTTTATTTTAAAAATTACTGCAGAGGATTGTATTGTAACCGATCATGAATCCTGGATGAAGTAAGATAATCCTGAAACTAACAGTACAAACTAAGAAACTAATCAGTATAGGATAAGAGACTTGTACAACATAATCTGTATAAGCAGCCTAGGTGGACAAATTTTGCAAGGAAATATAAATCATATGACAACTTTGTTTTAGAATGCTAAAGGCGTTTTGCTTATTAAGTTCATGGAGTGGGGGACAATCATCAACAAGAAGGTATATTGCGAAACTTTAACCCATTGACGACGACTTATGAGTTGACATGTTGAAGTTTTAAGAGTATCCACAGAAAAGTAAGGTACAGAGGGTACTCGCTTATGCTTTCAGCTCTAGAATGTTGTGCCAGAAATATACTTATGACAAACAAGGAAGAGTGTGAACAACGGGCACTGTGCGGAAATTCTAATCACACGGAGCACAGGGTCTTCATCCACTGTGAGCGTTGCATTAAATATGATATTGAAGGGGGGGGGGGTTGAACATTGCCCTAGACACCAGTAGCCTCAGGGCCGGTTTAACCCATACGCGAACTACGCGGTCGCATATGGCGCCACAAAAAAGTGGCGCCAACGGGACACAATTATTTTTTCATAATACAAAATTGGAAACATCTTTACTGACAAGTGAACAACTTAATTTTTTTTTCGCTCAGAGTTTATCCAAAGCACCACACTAAAGGCATTTATTCTGTTTGTACCAACAGCACTTGGAAAATAAGTATACTTGTAAAGCACTTCAACTCAAGGACTCAAGGCATTGATTTGCAGTTTCGATTTTTAGTGAGCTGACGCTCGGCAGCGTACAGCGTACAGCGCGGTGCCTGTGGGTTTCATTTCAACTTTGGGTTTTGCTAAAGTGTAGGCCTATATCCCACTTATCCACAAGAATTTTTCAACCATCACATCTCCAATTTATTCTGTTTATTTATTCTGCAATTTAGTAAAAGTGTAAAAATGTTAAATTTTGTGCATAATAAACAGTAGGTAGTTGAAAAACTTCTTTAATTGCAAGTATTCTTCCAACCTAAACTTATAAAAAGTTCTTCCCAAAAAAATTCACAAATAGGGTTAAGTTATGCTCAAGGGGGGGGGGGGGGTTCTAGGTGGTGCTGATTCAGGTGTTCGCTTAACTCTGAAAAATTCCTAGAACCGGCCCTGAGTAGCCTACAAGTGCTAGACACATCTTAAGTGTACCATTGAGTGTTTCCTCTGTTGGAGTAGCTTATTAGAATACAGTCACTTTCACTTCTCATTTTGTAGTATTACATGAGGATATTGACTAATATGTTTTTCGTTTGCAAGGATATGTGAAAATGAAATACACACTTCAAATATAATTGTTTTACTAATACAATCACAATAACTGTATAAATGGCATCAACTTTGTGCTTGTTTGTTATGGACAAGAACTAACATTATACTAGTTTTGATTTAGTCTAACAATTAAATAAATCACAGCATACAAGAGAGGGGATAGTAATTATACCAATTACAAATTGTAAAATGGAGGAAATATATGGACATAATAATACTTGTGAACCTAATACAGTACGACAGGCATTTATCAAAGAGTCCCTAAAAATCATTACTTTATGTATACAACTAAGTTAGAAAAGAATAACTAATTGTTAAGTACCCTGATAAAAACACTTATCATTACAATACCACTATTGGAATGAAAGAAAACACTTCAATAATACTAACCACTGTCAACCGTGGTAACTTTCTGGTAACATGACAGGTTTGTATTAAAATGTCTCGATACAAAATATGAGAGAAGTTCTCACATTCTCCCTAGAACTGCCGGTCAGTTATTTTATGGCCAATCCTAATTTTATATTCAGGCTCAAAATGAACAGATTGACATACAAGCAATAAGAATAGATGGAAAGTTAAAGATGTTGGCTATCCTGATAACTTTCCCACAGTATTTTTTTGTAGAGTTGGCATAATTACAATTCTTATTTTGTTTGTCAGCTTATGAGCCATTTTATAAGAAAAAAAAAAAAACTTTCATGGCAAGTTTACAACATAAAATATTTATTTCCAAAGAGCAGATGGGATGTCCTACAAACTGCATTTAATGAAGCTGATATATAATTGATTGTGTATTTTTATATGACCCATACAAATGTCTATAGTATGACATATTTCTTAACGGCATGTAAATAAAGAGGTCATCAATTATGGTTAGGTTTTGTTACCATACCAATAATATAGTAATCCTTTCTGTTTCTTTCTGAAAAAATAGGCCCCAATACAGTAACTACAACTGCCTGCCTGGTAAATTATATATATATATATATATATATATATATTTTTTTTTAAATTACTATGCAAACTGCAACGAAGTAACATGCCATTTTGGAAATCTAACCAGCAGTTTCAGGGTTAATATCCACAGTCTAATACATCCTGAACTGTTTCCAATTTGTATTGTGTATTTCAAAGTGCACTTAATCAGCCTTCCTTATCTTTGTTTGATTTTAAAAGTGAAAACAGTTTACTTGCCAAGAAAGCGGAATTTTAAAAACTATGCAACCTACTCCACTATTTTACTCGATTTTATATATTTTATCTCAACTAACGGTCACAATCACAATGGAATGTATGTTACATTTAAATGACATAAGAGGAAAGACTGTAATATAGCTTTTATTACCAGGATTAAAATTAAACTTAGAAATGCTTGCTGGTACAACAAAGCAAAGCTTAAATTAAAATGGTTTTATTTCTCTTATCAGAACAAATGTAAATAATTAAATACTTAAGATAACCTGAACTTATTCTAAAACAATTCTACATAATTAAACCATATTTTTCTTGCTACTAACAATATTATGATTTAAATGAAATGAATTAAAAAATTACAATAAATAAAATTAAATAAAAATGCAATATTTTTATAAACTAAAATACTGAGCACAAGGGAAATATTTAATAGGTCTATGTAACTAAATATTAAAAAGGCTTTTTGAAAACAAAAAACCTCAATAAACAAATAAACAGTATAACTGGCAGTTAAAAAAAGGATTATTTGATTTTCATTAGTTTCTAAGATTAGTAAAAAAATTGTTAAACCATTATCTTTCTTTGAAAAATGTTTAGCTGGTAACTATGAAACTCATTTAATTATTGATAAAAGAATAACCTTATCAAGAACCCTAAAGGCCATAAACCTAATGTTTACTGATTTGGTTTTAGGGTAACTTTAATTGACTAGATTAAACATATTTTACATTTTTATTTTATACTACTAAATATTATAAATTGGTAATCATTCAGCTTGGTAAAAAAATCATACAATAAATAATGCAGTATAACTCCAATAACCCAAAACGATTGTTAACATATCACATCCCTACAGTCAACAATCTTGATAGTTGGATTTTTACCGAAATTTTTGGTATTTGATAGAAAATATTTTGTATCAAGCCGAGCTGTGACTATGGTAATCACAGAACGTTTGTGCGATCGAAAAAGTTCACACTTTTGCTATGATCGAGGAGGACGATGATGATGTTTCTGTGACTGCAGTAGATCATGTTGATGTCAACAAGACCATGGAATATGTTCTAGATTTTGCAGTGATCACGGAAGACAATTAATTAACAGCTGTGTCTAAGGAATATGTCGGCCTTAGTCACTAACAAGACTACAAGATCACGCCACTCATCCTACACTCATCTCCATTCATATTTGGCTTAAAATACCTACCTTTGTATGGTTGCCATTTCAAAGTAAAAGATTAAAGTAAGCGGTTGCTGTAACCGCGTGAGATGATGACAAAGTCTAAACAACCATGGGAGATGTTCAGGACTTTGCTTCAATCACGGGAGATCATGATGATGTCAACAATACCATGGCAGATGTTCTAGATTTTGCCATGATCACGGAAGATAATAAATATATTTTTCTGATGGCGGGAGAAAATGATGAAAAACTATTTTTATTACTGCATTTTGAGATTATAAAAATTCTTTCTGTGTGAGAGATTTGGATAGTCAGCAATTCAGTCAGATGGAGTTAACATATACAGTTTGGATGATTGGAGTTATATTGTAGCTCATTTCAATTTATTTTTTATGCTATGAGACCAACTTAATGAGAAAGATTCCCCAAAATTGGCAGGCTCTTTGATCTTACATTTTTGGAACCTAGAAAGTAGCCATGCCTGATAACAGAAACAAAAAGGAAGAGTTTTAAGAAAACTATGACAAATAGTAAGAGCTAATTTCCCCATAATTTTTTTCCTAAGGTAGAGGAAAAAGTGCCAAATACGATCCAGTGTAGTCAGACATTTAAGATCATGTTGGGTATACTTTTATGTATAATTTTAATGTTCTAAAATCAAAATCCCATAATATTAATTAAGCAGTAGAACATTTATCTAAACAAGTGTAAAAAGGGATATTGCTTAGGCTTTGCACCTATTTTTATCTCTCTGAAATACAAAGACAGCAAAAATAAAGCACCACTTGAAAGTTCAATACTAACCTTATGATATGCTGTTTTAATAAAAATACTAAATAATAACTATTTTATCATGAATATAAATTGAACATATTACAAAGAAAAGTAAACACAAAGCACATACAGAGATATCTTTGGTTGATAATGATACTTTGATATAACAACACTAGTGGAAAACATAAATATTGTTAAAGAAACCCATACTCTATTACATAATGAATATGGTACAAACCACATTTTATTGCATCTTCCCCAGAAGATATATGTTAAAATTACTAAACCTTTCACTGTATGTTTTAGGTTTTAGTATGGTTTGATATATTTTTTGTTTTATTTAATGCTAATGGATCTGTTTATGAACAGTTTTTAAATAAAGAATAATTTGTATAAAACATAAACAAAATTTTAAAGACAAAACCAAACTTGTATCAAATAATAATTTAAACATACTGTAGTTCAATTTTATTAAAGTTAAATAATTTACTTACCTATGTTTAAAATACAACATAATAGCAAAATGTGTTATAAATCAGTTTAATGTGTAATTTAAATACACAAAAATATATAAACTTAACAAACCTCTCTGATACAAAATGGCACACTAGTTTCTAGCACCTTTAACATTACAATCTATGTATCTTAACTGATAAGGATGACTTATCTCGAATGATGAAACAGTGAAGTAAGAATGTTTGTGTGAAAGTACGAAACGTAAAAAAGTGTTAGGTGGGAACCTCTTCAGTGCCTCTGCCGTCCCGCTCTACACAACCAAAATAAAAAATTATTAAAACAATACTACTTTTAAGGGGTTTAACTTAAAAACTAGCATTAAAAGAGTGTTACTTTATAAATTACTTTATAACTAGATCATCAAATAGCTGACCTTTTGCCCTGATGAAAGGAAAAATGGAATAGGCTTAACTGTCCAAAATCTATCAGATACTAAAAAATCAAACAAAAAGTCTAAACCAAATAAAAATACAATATTTTATACTGTATTATTAATTATTTAGATTTGATCTGTGCAGATTTCTGATACGAATGAATTAATTGCCAAATTAATAAAATCTTTCAAGTATCAATCCAACAAAACCATGAACTAGTAATACCAATACCCCTTAGTAATTGGTCATTAGATAGATAGTTTCATAATTTTAAAATGTTTTAGAATAATAATAAGGATTAGAATGAGGAAATGAGTTAAACAAGCAGGTTAAAAACGTGTTAGATTGTTAACTCCAATCATTTAAGATTGAGAGATTGAAAAGCAAATTATAGATGTACCATTATCAACCAACACAGAAGGAAACATTTATTTATATAACGAGCAATAAACATTTGGATAAAAAAATTATATTATAACTATGCTGCCAGTTGTTTGAAGAGTTTTCTTCTTCTATCTTCTATAACATGACGAAACAAACCAACTAGACGCCAACTTATTTTTGTCAGTGTAAAATTGAGGATAGAAAATCTCTAAAGATAAAAAGTGCTTTAACAAAAGTTCCATCACCTTTATTAATTGATATTTAAACTAGTCTAAACTATTTATACTTTAGAGAGGACATGTGTGGTTGTTAATTGACTTTACTCAGAATAAAAACTCTATAACAGCAAAATATTGATTTAGATGAAGAGAACATCAACCCCTAATGTTTTCGGCGATAGAGATTCGTTCTAAGTAAATATTGTCTCACCAACTTTGGAATTTATTGATTCTGTACGCACAGTATCTACAATGGATGGATTTTATTGACTTATCAATCACATATTTCAATAAACAGTATTAACAGTATAACAGTATTCAAAGCTGAACCTTAGCCATTTTACTACAAGTTTGTGAGTTTTGTTTTAAGGAATTTTAAAACTGTTTCAATGAATAGGTTAAGGTTTGTTCAGTACTTTATACAAATGAAGGGGACATTAGGTCCCCCAAAACCCTCCCTGAAAAGACAAATAAGACAATTATAATTATTTAAAGAATAAAGAAATAATCTTCTTTATGATTGTTTTTTGAGAGTGTACCACACATGTCTCCTCCACTAGGTAGCCTAAGGTCTCCAATGGTACTTACTCAGGCCTGTTGGATAGCATGGAGAGCTCCTGAACTGCTAAATCAAAGTCTTCATCCACCTCCCCCTCGCCCTCCACATCCGACAACGGAGCATCCACACTGCTCGTGTCCAGTCTGTAAAGGTATCTAAGCAATAGTATTATAATTGTGTTAGTAAAAGAAAAACTGCAAACACCAGAAATTAAAATAGTAAATTATAGAAAATTAAAATTTAAACTAAAATTAAAACAAAAAAGTAATTTGTATCACATAGGAAACAAAGGATAGTAGTGGTTTGGTTGTGAACAACAAGATAAATTGAGTTCCTTGAACTTGAAATAAAATTGGGTAGTTACTCTGTTCGCTCTCCTCAATTAAGCAGATTCTCAAACTGAGATATTTTAAACTCTATTGTATTTAGTATTATTATAAAGTCCCACATTATAGAAAAAATCACCACTGTTTATCTAGAAGTTTTTTGTATATTGGTCAGGGGAATACCTTAATAGTTTCTGTTAACTAGTTTTGCACACACAATAAAATGAACTTTGAAATGTATCAACAAATTTTTGAGTTAACTTCTGTTGGCTCAAACTGATTTAGATTGCAAAAGGATTTGGTTACAAAGTCTCTGAACAATAGAAGAAGGCTAACAAAATAAATATTTTAAATATTTGATTTCCCAAAAAATATATAAAATATAAATTGATAAATTAAAAAAAAATATAAATTTATAAGAAACGTAAATAATAAAGCAAGTTAACTACATTTAAAATTTTAATTGAACATCAAAACATTCAAAAGACTATAGTAGGTTCAAAAAATTTTTAGCAGTTTAAGGGGAAGCAATTCCATTCCCTCCACTTCACCCTAACTATGAAACAACAGCTGACAGCTGATCAGCTGATACATGCATTTAGCTCAAACAAGTGGTAAGAGGAAACCTTCCTCTTAAACCGCCTACATTTTGTGAACAGACTACAGCAGTCAACCCATTATGAACCAGATGTCAAGATGCTTAATGACCAGATTCGATTCACTAATTTTTAAGCAGAATAACGAACTAACCTGTGATCCTCCTCAACAGCACTGATGTCATAGTCCATGATGAGATCATCAGATGCAATGCTCTCGCAAGGAGACAGAGTACCAACAGAGCTGTGGCGGCCAGAGTTGCAATCTATTGTCAGGTTGGCTATTGCTGCACTCACTGGAACAATCACAGGATGACTAATGTTAGTGGACAAGTAGCATAATTATTCATGGTTTAATCTAAGATATTTTTAAGATGGCTGTTTCTATCTGTGTAGCTATTTGTTCTGGTTGAAAGCAAAAATTAATGAAATTTAAAAAGAGCAGAGATTGACAGATGTTGCCACCATCACACAAAACAATTTCAATGTTGGAGTTTATTGCAAATTATGGTCATGGATGTTGGTGCATTAGACATGGATTATTGCGGATATTACTAAGATCACAAAGGATGATAAGAATGTTGCTGTAATTGCAGAGTAACCAACAAATGTTGCATCAATTCCATTCGCAATTTAGGTATCTTGGACTGTAGGCTGTGAGGCTGTTGTACACTAGTACTAGGCCAGGCTGGTCACAGATCTACTACTGATATTTGTGTACTACTCACAAGGTTTGAGAGGTCTAGGAGAGGGAGCATCAGCCACCAGGGTGTTTCCTGAACTGTTCGCTGTCATGTCGTTGTACACTAGGCCTGGCTATGGTCAGAGGTCTACTACTGATATTTGTGTACTACTCACAAGGTTTGAGAGGTCTAGGAGAGGGAGCATCAGCCACCAGAGTGTTTCCTGAACTGTTGGCTGTCATGTTGTTGTACACTAGGCCAGGCTATGTCACAGGTCTACTACTCATATTTGTGTAGTACTCATGAGGTTTGAGAGGTCTAGGAGAGGGAGCATCCGCCACCAGGGTGTTTCCTGAACTGTTGGCTGTCATGTTGTTGTACACTAGGCCTGGTTGGTCACAGATCTACTACCTACTGATATTTGTGTAGTACTCATGAGGTTTGAGAGGTCTTGGAGAGGGAGCATCAGCCACCAGAGTGTTTCCTGAACTGTTGGCTGTCATGTTGTTGTACACTAGGCCTGGTTGGTCACATATCAACTACTGATATTTGTGTAGTACTCACGAAATTGAGAGGTCTAGGAGAAGGAGCATCAGCCACCAGGGTGTTTCCTGAACTGTTGGCTGTCATGTTGTTGTACACTAGGCCTGGCTGGTCACAGATCTAGTACTGATATTTGTGTAGTACTCACGAGGTTTGAGAGGTCTAGGAGAGAGAGCATCAGCCACCAGGGTGTTTCCTGAACTGTTGGCTGTCATGTTGTTGTACACTAGGCCAGGCTGGTCACAGATCTACTACTGATATTTGTGTAGTACTCACAAGGTTTGAGAGGTCTAGGAGAAGGCGCATCAGCCACCAGGGTGTTTCCTGAACTGTTGGCTGTCATGTTGTTGTACACTAGGCCAGGCTGGTCACAGGTCTAGTACTGATATTTGTGTAGTACTCACGAGGTTTGAGAGGTCTAGGAGAGGGAGCATCAGCCACCAGGGTGTTTCCTGAACTGTTGTTGTCATGTTGTTGTACACTAGGCCTGGCTGGCCACAGATCTACTACTGATATTTGTGTAGTACTCACGAGGTTTGAGAGGTCTAGGAGAGGGAGCATCAGCCACCAGGGTGTTTCCTGAACTGTTGGCTGTCATATTGTTGTACACTAGGCCAGGCTGGTCACAGATCTCATCATCAATGAAGTCTCTGTCCCGGATGTCAGATGAGAGACTCAGAGAGTTAGAGGTATGAGTTGGTGTACCAGGAGTGCCGGGGCTGTCATCATCTATAGAACAATTAAATCAAGCTTCTGTTAATGATAAGTACTAAGCCGACAGATTATGTATTTAGTAAAGAAATTATGCTAACATTGTTTTTGATGGGGATAATGTAATTTATTAAGTATAGTTAAACCAATGGCAATAGACTACTGTAATATTTTGTGATAATTGTTTGAACATTGTTATGCAATTTATATATGAATTAAATGTTAATTTATGACAAGTTTATGTGATCACGGCCAAATCTTGAATATTTCCCATAGTCCTCCCAACATTATCATTGTCTCGCACGGTCATGGAAACTTGTCCTTGTCATTATTTCCCGCGTTCGTGGCAAAATCTTTAACATCTTCTGCAGTCTTGTAGAAATGAACATCATCTCCCCTTGGTCAGGAAAAAACATTATCTTTTTCCTCGACTGTAGTAAAATCTTGAATATCTATTGGTCTGGTAGATATAATCTTCGTTTCCCCGTCACTGAAAATCATTATCGTCTGCAATCGCAGTCACAGCGAAGTGAAAATTTTCTATCACAAACTCTACTAACAAAAATTGGCTTGACTCGGTATATTTTCTGTAAAATACACAAATTCCGGTAAAACCCAACAATTCAAATTTTCAATCATCCAAATGTGGCATGGTTCCAATTTATTCGGATAGCAGAGATTCTACTGTATCATCTTGATACAATTCAGTTTATGTGTGCTTCATTTTGAAAACACAATTGTAAAAAGGGTTTGATTTTTACAAACATTAAGTCAAACTTGACTGGCAGGCTATTCAACCTTACAGCAATCAGTAACTTTAATTTTGATAATGTTATATAGCACATAAAAAAAAATATTCTTATCGCTAAATAAAGGTAATTATTTACAAAATAAGTTTCAGAATTAATCATGATGATCAGGCGAATGTAAGCAAATACAAGCATGCACAAACATTACATGAAAAAACAAACTGTACATAAAGGAAATAAAGCAAGCAAAGAAAATATACACCAACCTTGTCAATGTCAATATTTTGGTGATGACAAGGTATAAAAACTAATAATAGACAAACTAAAAATAATGAAAGAAGTGAATTAGATAGCATTGGGTAATAAAAATAATATAGCTGATAAAAATAATGATTACCGAAGGTTACGATTAAGATTAGCAGATTTAGTATTCAACATTGATGTATTAAATGACTTTAATTATTTAAATAAGATTTTTCACAAAATATTGAACACAGAACAAAATATAGCAAACTATAAGTGTATATGAAAGAACGCAACCAACTGTGATTCTTTATTAAAATTATTCTTCCTTCAATAGGACTGTATATTGTTAAGAAGTGTACAAAAAGTAACATATTATACTTCAAAATGATGATTTAGTCTACATTGCCATCTCAGAATTAAAAATAATAATGTGAATTTAGAGTAACTATTTTAAATTAGTTTAGGAAGGTGAAATAAAAACTTGAAACTATAATAATATAAATTACAAAAAAAGAGAAAGAAGCAAGAGCACCCAATCCACTCTTACTCTTTTTCTCTTGCTGCTCTTGCGGTGGAGATTCATTAGGACTAGTGACATTTGACGTGCTTGTCAGACTGAGACTGTTCTGGAAGTCCGGGAGTTCAGGATAGCATTCGTCTTCCAACATGGCCGACGAGGACATGGCAGCGAGCGCGGCAAACGAGTGGTCCTCGATAGAGAGCAGCACCGAGCGCAGCGGTGGCGTCATCTCGGGGCCTGTAAGCGGGCGGTTAGGTGCATAAGCGACACAAGCAGGCACACACACAATGCTGGTTAGTATATACACATACACACACAGAGACAGTTTTGGTTAGAATGGTAAGCGTAAACTGTTGACACAGATGTATGGATTAGTTGGTGAAGGAAGCTTCACACTGGTCAACAAAAGCATATTTCATCGTCGCAAGAAGAAGGTTACAATGATGTGGTATTTTACAAGCTATTACATGTTTTGCTAACAGTTGTGTAGGCGACATTCAGTAAATCTAGTCTGTATGATACTTATGTAGCAACAGATTGTGAAATAAATTACAAATCAAGTTTAGGAGATATGATTTCCAAGAGGGAAGTGGATGAAAATGGTTATCATAGTAGAAAATTGAACTATTTTATTTCCTACAACCTCACTCGCGTATACTAAAAACTGAGAATACCTTTTTTATTGAGGAGAAAAAAAAATTAAAAGAATGTTTATAGCAATTCATCATCTCTTTAAATCCGGGTGGTGTCAGCAATTGCATGTATTATTGTGATAAAGTAAGGACAAAAAACCGTTGCTTTAAATTTAGCATAATACTGGTTCAAGAGTAGAACAGTAGCCCTATTCTCCTTCCCTAATATTAGTTTACTGCTCCCTTCGCTGTTTCACTGAAGAATTAAGTTGAATGATAAGAAATTTTGTTTATCTTACTAAGATAATAACGAATTTAACAGCACATCTTAGCACTGCACCAAACTTAATAAAGATGAAATTAAAGACAATAACTTTCAAATTTCGACTGAAAAACACTTCAATTGGATGAATAAAACTCAGTCCAAAATCAAAAAAGTATCCAATTTAGCTTCTTATACAATTACATATTTACTATGTTTGACAGAACGCATGAAAGAAAAAATAAGTAATAGTTGGTGTCCTTACTCTCAGGTAATTTTAAAGTGAACAAAACTAAGTAAAATTCAAACATAAAAAACATTATTGTCAAAAATATATTTTCAAAACAATAAGTACATTTTCACAGCTCTATATTATTTACAATTTACTGACATTAAACCCATTACTCACAGATGAATCATGTTACCGTATCCTCACAGACAGACAGGCGTCAGGCTACATGGCTACAACAGACTGACTCCCCCCTCCTCCCTTCCATGTATATACTGCTTACTGATCAATAGCCCCATGCCTGACTCATTCATTCACAACCCCTGTTACTGCATCCCCTAGCCTTGCCCTAGACATGCAAACCCACGCTGTCACCGTAACTTTGGGAAAACAATTTGCAATTACAAGTTCAATTGGTTGGTGTTTCAAGAAAAATAACTTTTGCGTAAAGGTTAACACAGAATGAAGTAAACACTAATTAGTGCACAACACTACGAGTGTGTTTATTGAATTACAGCACAGGGCAAATTTGTATTTGAGTAAAAGAGTAATATTTATTCCTTATTTAAATAAGATTGGTAAAACGAGTACTTAGGTTTGCTGCTACAGAGAAGGTAAAAAAGTGTTTTTTTAGTTAAATGTTAACAGTTTAGTATGAAATTACAAATTTTTCAAAATTTTACCAAATATGTTGATAAACAAGCAAACTACGACAGTTTACTTATTCTTCATAAGAATAATATAGATTTTTTTATTTAAATCTTTTTTTTAATTTCCTCTGTAACCATTGAGGGAATTGCAACGCTTCAACATAGTATTTTATTTTTCAAGCACTACAAAATGGATTAGAAAGAAATTGCACAGTTTATTTTTTTTAAATGGTTTTAGGTTTAAAAACGGGAAAACCCAATTTTTAACCCATAAAACCCCTCATAAGCCCCAGTTCCCATTGTCTGTTCATGTTGGTTTGAGATCACGTTTGAATAAACACAAGTTTACACACTTTTACCAAATTTTATCAAAATTGGATAATGGTGGAACTCTGGTGTAACGTACGGTGTTTCTGGCCTCTAGGGGCCAAAATAAAAAATTGGTCCCGGGGTCCAGGTCTTATCATGAGACATACGGTAATAGGTTTGGTTTAAATACTAAACTGTTTTGAAAGAATCAGATGAGAGTTCAGGTGAATCAGACAACGACAGAAGCAAACAGAAAATATCCCACTTGCTGAAGCTGTCACATGAAAGGCAGCCGCAACAACAGCGTAAACTTTGTTTCTGTGATGTTGTTGTGATTTTACCTCCAACGATGAATCTACTTATCATAATCCGGACCGGACGTCCACCACATTAGTCCGGATGAGCAAGAGTCTACTGTACCTAGGTTTAAATATGCAGATTCAAGATTTACAATTCCGAGCATTTGAAACCCCAATTTCATTAGAAACAACCTATAAACTTTTCATCGCAATCAAACCAAAAACATGAGATCTGAGACATGTAATGATTACTATGTAATGATTACTATTAGTGAATCCTACTTCACTAGTTTAGATGATGGATCACCAGGTTAATGAACATACAAGACACACAATGCACATAATATTGTTAGCAGCATATTCTTACCAGGGTCAGACTCCTGTCCACTGTTGGTTAGATCTTCCTCTCCTACCATCGCCTCCCCGTGGCCCCACAGGTCATCTACCTCCCCTGCTGGCTCATCTCCCGCCCCCACCACACCCTTCTCATCCTTCTCACTCAGCACTCGATCTCTGAAACATAAACAAGATGTCAACCTCTCCTACTATCAAGATTTAGTGATTGAAAAATTAACGTTTTTGCTGCGATTGCGGAGGGTGACAATGATTTTTAGTGACCACAGGAGATGATGATGATAGCTACAAGATCAAGGAAGATTTTCAAGATTTTGCCCCGATTTCAAAAGAAAAAAAAAGGATGATGTTTCTGTGCCCACAAAAGATTATGATTATCTATACAGGTAGTTCCAGCTAAGTTGGCATTTGACCGATCGATAGAAATTCTCTACTTACATATGTCAAAAACATTTTCTGCAGTCAAGCGGGTAGCATCAACTGTCCTCGTGGCCCGCGTGAAGGTGCTGGAATGGATGAAAACACGGAACGCTTTTAATTATGACTACTTTAGTTAAAAGTTAGTATGTCGAACACTTTCACTTTTATAATATTTCCGCAACACAAATTATTAATAAAATTAATCTTACCTATTTTTTAACTACAAACAAAATGCTTTACACTAAAAAAAGAAACATGTGATGCTAGCAAAGCTAACGACTTTCTAATAAAGCAGAGTGTTTAGGTATTCCCCTGGGTTTTCATAACAATACCACACCGTATTAGTCATCTCCTCTCGTTATTAGTTTAGTATGATGTTATCATCGTTTGGAGGCGCCAACCCCGTGAGTCCGCAGCGGAATGCTTGCAGAAAGATCTTTGCCTAGCTTCCACCCACCCCCCGCCTAAACTGCCACGCAGTGGTGCGCCAGGCCCAAGTGCCAACTTAGCTGTAACTACCTGAACTTGACTGCGGAAGATATTCAGCATTCTGCATAATCACAGAAGTTGTATTGTTGTGTTGTGATTTACTGAATGATGTTTGAGTGACTGCGAGATACGATGATGACCCGATTGCAGGAGATGTTCAGGACTTTACCGCCATCATGCCTTCTGCCTTCTTTGATAATGATTCTTATTACTATAGTTATAGGGTTTAACGATTCTTTCTGTAAGCGATTTGGATAATCGGTAATTCAGATCGGTGAATTACTGGTTAGTGAGTCGGTGGGTAGTGTCGCAGACTTCAGGCCCAAGGCAGCGATGTCGTTGGTTCGAATCCTGGTCACTGCCGAAAACATTTTATCAAACAGATCACCTTTGTACTGTACCGGCTCACTCCTTGCTTTACTGTATACGATCCACACACAGTTCTGTAGTCTATGTGGACGGGCAAATGCAAGGTTAAAAGAGGCCGCCAACCTCTTAAAAAAAAGATAGTTGGAGTTTGGATGATTTGAGTTCTAAAGTACAATTCTTTAAAATATTTCTTAGTACTGTGCATCCTCTCTTAAATAACACTCACCGAACTTTGCCTAAATCAGGTAGCCATGGTCAGTTAAAACAGAAAACATGTATAGTACTTAAAAGTCAGTGATTTTTCAGTTTTATTTTGCTGTGTGTTATTTTAACTTATCTAATAATAGAGTTCCAGGGAGTTGACAGCACACACAAAGTTTAAAGTTCGATTAGTAAAATATTTTGTGCTTACATTTTACCCCTAATATTAAGGCTTTATCCAATTACTTGTGCTGTCAACTGTTTGTGCCGTCAACTGCCTAGCCTGGAGCTCTGGAGTTTTGTAACATTTTTTTTAAACCTCCAGATCCTTTAGTTCTAACCTGTGCAGCTTCTCCTCCCCGCTCTCTTCGTCTATACCCTCGTCATCCTCCGAGCTGCCACTCTCCCTGCTGCTCAGTCTGTCGTAGCGAGGCATGAGTCTCTTGGACATCGGCAGCGGTGGCAGCTCCAGAGGCAGGATCTCCGTTACTTCTATTGAGCCTTGCATGTCACGCAGCTCAAACTTCTTCTCATTTCCGTTCGGGAAGATCATCTCCATTGGACGGGATTTCTGCAAGAATAAGAAAACTTTTAATTCTAAAAATATGTTGTAAAGCCCCGAACATATTACCATAATAAGCAAACATTTTTATCAGTTTAATTTTCTAATCAACTTTAGTAGATCATATTTCTACCACATAGAAGTTCTAAAGACATGACGTCCGGTAATCTAAAGACAATGAACTGTTGAAGTTTAAGGAACATGGACAAGCCTGTGATAGTGCAGACAGCCGGTTACGCACCAGCAAAGTTTGGCTGATCAACCCTACACACTACTCGTACAATTGTGCTACCGATTTGGTTGATTCTGTATAGGGTTTAGTTCAACATCTTTCATCAATGTGTGTCTCTCTCATAATTAAATGCTATATTTAATTAAAAATCACAGATTCATTAGTCCATTTTGATGATGGATACATCAAAATGAGCTTTACCTATCCTCTCAGCCACAATATTCGCTGCATGTGTTCTAGGGATGAGCATCGATAGCCGATGTTTTTGACATCGATAGGTTACCAATGTTTTTGGCCAACTATCGAATGTTCGATGTTTTTTTTCTGTAACTGAATAGTTTTCGTCACAGAAAATTTAAATGTTGTTCTTAACAGGAAATAGAGTTATTGTATTTATTCTATTAAGGCTGATGAAAAATCTACTCCAAATATATCGTGAAATGGACTAGATTTAGACGAGAATAGAGTGAGAGTGTGATATTTACATTCTTTCATGAGGTGCTTGTTCTAAATGCAGACAAAAATGAATTCATTGTTAATCAATTTCATCAAAAGCACTCCTGATCTAGCATAATAAATTCAGACGATATTTCGTCTTGCAAATCTGAAAGACAAACTGCCAATCTAAAATGTATATCTAGTAGGTTAATAATTAGCTGAAATAGAAAGTAGACCAAAAACTCAAAATGAAAAAAAAACATCAAATATATGTTTTGCCTTGAAAATATAGATGTTTTACATCGGTCCAAGAATGGTTGATACCTATATTACAATCGATGATGAACATTGATGGTAGATCTATCGATGCTCATCCCTTTAATTTTTGGGTGTAGGTTTCAAAGTCATAGACAAACCTGAGCTTTCCTAAGCCTGTTCCTGGCTGACGGACTACACTCCAGTTGTTCTATCATCTCCAGCTCATTTCCACTTCTCTGGCTGCTCACTCCCGAGTCTGCATCGTTTACCTTATAAACAAAACAAACATAATAAACTGTAGGGGTCTGAAAAATAAAAATGGAAGTACAGTAGCGGAGCACCTAACAGAGTCTACTTATCAACAAAATTACTGTTTTTTGTTGAATATGTCAATGATTTAACAAAGTCAAACAGGTAGAACAACTTATTGCAAGCAAAGCAAGCTAAAGCATTGTTAATACCAAATCAACCATCTCAGCTACAAAAAAAGAAGAAAATAGACTTTAGACTGTTGCATATTCTACGATTGGCAGATTCAACTACCCTAACAGCACCAGATATCCATTGGATATTCAAAGTGGTTGAAATATGCCTAAAGATATCTAAATGTAATATAATATATTTTTAAAATATCTTATCTAAGAAATCTGTAAAATATCTGTTAAGATATTTTATAGATATTTAATAGATATTAAGAGTTTCACAGTAGATATTTATATAATGTTTAGATGCAATATCCTACAAATATTGTACATATATTCAGTACTAGATATCTACGACCAGATATCCTGTAAATATCAATCCTACATTGACGATTGGATATTGATTATAAAGACGATAAATGCTGATAAGTGCATTATTGTTTCATCTAGAATATTTAATATTACAGTTAGCCTTATAAAAACACAGGATCTAAAATCATCCAACAAATCTACAAACACTAATGAAACCAAAACTTAATTGTAGTTTTTATGTGGCTATTTTGGTAGATTAATTACATTATGTTGTCTCCGTTACTCTAATGCGTGCTACGCGTTAAAAAATCAAATAATTTTAATCAGCCCAAAGTGGACAAAAATTGCATAAGCGATGTTTACAAGAATGACTACACTTTTCCAAAGGGAGTGTTTCATTAAAGTCAAACTATTTCAGTCAGACAGAAGGGAAGAAATATGCATTACACCACGTAATATAATAACACAAATCTCGCACGATCCAAAAGTTGTGAGAAACAAAAAAAAACTGTTAAGCCATTCCGTAAAAACATTATACAATTAATTGACTTTGAATGTATGATTAAACACCTTTTTATAATAATAATAACGAGAGGTCGTCCAGTGGTCGAAACTCGACCAAAAATATGTAATGTAAACTAACTCACTTCTCTATTTTCACCCCACACTGTAAATAAAACATGTGATTGGAGTTTCTTCCATTTGTTTTGATTTTCTGTTTATATTTTGTTGTTATTTCGTCACCAGCATGGCAACGCATAAGATCCATGTTAATTTTTTCTAATTTTTAAACTCATTTTTTGTGCTTATCTTTGAGCCTATTTAAATTTATAAAGGGATTCTGCACACCTACAGGAAAATAGCTTTCTAACGGTATGCGTAGATTTACCCCACGATGCACACGAGCTGAGAAAAAAGGTTTTAAAGAAACATGCTTGCCTATTAATATATAGATTTAATTTAAATGTTTTCTTTTTAGTTAAAATTCTTCAACTTATTTGAGGAAATTATATGGGTTGATCAATTTAAGGGTAAATATTAATTAATAATATAACCATTATAATAACATTACTAATGGTAATTAATTAATCTATATTCAGATATTAGTATTCTCTCCATCTGCCAGAAAAACAATTAATTTAACAACTTGATGCCTAAACAGAATCATAGTATCAAAAATATTTAAGTATTGCGACCATTGCAGCTGTTGGCTCCTCTTTAACCGCTTGAAAACTATTAATATCAACAATCACAGGTAGCTCAGAGGTAAGGTAAGAGTTTCATAAGATGAAGGTATCAGGTTCGAAACCTGTCCGGGTATAAAAAATTTTGTCTAGTTTTTTTTCTTCAAAAATTGTTTTTATGTACTATTTAATGAAAATATTCAACTGATAAATGTGCTTTTCAGACTAAATCTTTATTATTTTGTATTTTTATGTATTTATTATATATTTTTTGTGATCTGTAATCAGATATCCGTATAACATTCAGTTTTAGAAGTTCTTAAGATATTGTAAATCTAATATCTGTTGAAAGTAGAAATTAGTGACATTTAAACTTCTTCACAATATCTAACAAATATAAATATCTGGATATTGATCATCTATAGATATCTTAAATATCCAAGTGAAATGTTTATAAGATATTCTATAGATAACTCTGTGCTGTCTGGGTACATTCCTTTTTGAATAAAAAGTTGGCTACACCAGGTTCATAAAGATAGAATGTATAGTTCAGTATCCAAAAATCAATTATTAAACACACACTATATCTTTGGGGTGCAAGTTATTTTGGCTATTATAATTCTGAATTACAACAGCTCTGAAATAGCCTGTACAGCATGACACTAACTTAAGGTACAGGCAGTTTTGAATTTTTGAATTTATTTCATGAGTAATTGAAGAGTTAAAATGTTGATTTCGTTCTCAAAATACTTCACAAATCAGACAGGACATAGGTGATAAGAGTTGAGAAATGTAGCCTTGCTGTGTCATGTTTACTGTTTACCCAAGTGTTGCAAGAGTCCTTAATGTTGTTGTTAAGGTTGCAATGGAAGAATATACATTTTTTAGATACCCTTTATACTTTGCTACAGTAAACATTTTAAAAATGAATCTTCATTGAACACAATGTACATTATTTTACGGCTATTGGCATATCATTATCCAATCTTCATAAACGACTGATTTCAGAAATCGTTTGAATAATTTACAGCTTGCTGTGTAGTAACATCCCTCATATCCCTCAAGATAACAAAACTGGGTCAACACAAAGGGGTTAAAAAAATCAGAGGAGCAAGAAACGTTTCATAAAAAATAATAAATAAAGCTAGGGAGAACTTTACCATCTGTAAGAATTATGAAATATCTACAGTAAAAGCACATTTGTAAAATGAATTCAAGGCAATATATTTCAAATCAAAACACATACAAATGATGATTTATTAGTTTAAGACTTATGCAGTTGGAAGGCTAACAGAACAACAGAAGCGTGAAAAAGGTAGAATATCCTAATGAACTGGTTGTGAATTGAAATTGTAAGGTCTTACCTTAGCAATCCTAATTTGCTGCTTTTTACAAAATAGGATTTCTAAGTCAATACCTTACAATATCAATTAATTATACATAAGCTATCCAGAGGCAAAAATTATTGAGAACTGGTTGTACCAAGGGTATTGGAGGTTCTAATGTACAGTCCTGTCCTAATAACATATCAAAATTACCTGATAATGAGTTTGTTACAAATGACACTGGAAATAGGAACATCTTGGGTGATTCATCAATGACAATTTTGGCGGGTTTAGCAATTTCACAAACAACAGTGGTTTTTTTTGTGTTGTTGATTATTTACCATGCATTGATACCTAATGTTTCTTAATTCAAGCTAAATAATGTTGATATTTCTTTTACCAATAATGATTCACAGATCTTGACACAAATATTATTGTACTGCAGAGATATAGCTTTATGAATTACCCAGAGGGCCAATATTACTCAGGGCTTTTAAAGGTTTTTCAAGTGACCACAATAATAAGAGTGTAACGCTAGTGTTTTATCCCTTTAAAGTTAAACTATGATTTTAAATAGAAATATACTGTTATTTTACCAAATTACTGGAGAAGCTATAAAGGACAAAGTTAGTTTTAGAGCAAACACCTTGAAGACATTTTTTCGACACCAAAACCATGTCCAAATATGAAATAATAAACTTAGAAATGACAAACCAACCAAGCTTTCTTAATTTCAAAGTTTTCAGTACTTCTCAAAACCCAGTGTGAAGGATAAATAATAAATTGAAGTGTATTCGGAAGTGAATTTTTCCTAAGGATAGCCCAAATAGAAACCAAACCACCATAGAAATACTCACAGAAGACGCAGAAGATCCGCCATTTTCAGAGCGTGAGCGCCGTGCTGTGTTGTTGTTGGCTGCTGTCTTAGCCGACTTGTCAGCTGAAGCGGTGCGGCTGTGGTAGCCAGCGGGGGTGGCTAGTCTCACAGGGAACTGTGGGCGGGGCAGCTGCGAGATACGGGGGATGTGCGTCTTGACTGCCTCTTCCTTGACAAGGCCTTCCAGCTACAAAACATCAGAGAACAATCGTTAAAAAAGAACCATTTTTAATTGGTAATATACCATGATAGGGTCAAATAACCTAACAATTTGGAAGTGCTTTTGAGGTTTGACTTTAAAGGAATAACATTTTTAGTAAAGAAAATATAATTTTATAATAGAACATGATGGTTTTTTTGTGCTTCTTACACTGCAGTAGACTCCCTCTTATCCAGACTGAGGCCAGTCTGGATAACAGTTTTTCCATTTAAACCAACGTCCCCTAACACTTTATATTTTAGGAATGTCTGATGCATACTACGTAAGCCATTAATGATTTTTCTTAAAAATAGTAAAACTAGACACTTTGGCATTGTAATTAGACACATGATCAGCGGTTCACATATTTGATATTTCCCACAAGAACCGTTTCAGTACCGCCTGGTTCTTGTAGATTCAGTGCGTTTAAAGCGATGTGCTAATAAAAATTGTTCCGTTGAATTGGGAATTTTATATTTCACTTGAATACCTACCTCAATTTGAAACTGGCATTATAACAATATCTTAAAATTACATCACACAAATGGGCATGAAGCTATTGGACTATTTTGTTATTATAAACCAAACTACATAATATATTTACTTAAAATTATTTATTACTTGTGATTAATAAAGTAGACGTACAGGTAGAGATTAAATTTTAAGTTAATTTATGTTTTGGTAAAAGTTCTAAGGCATTCGCTGAATCCAAGCCTTCTGATTTTCAGAAAGCTCCAAGAACACACACAATGAATGTATATTCAAACTTTTAATGAAGTCAATTAAATGGAAGCAATTTGATTATTAATTACTACAGAGAACAATCGAGGGAAAATGAAAAGAAGACCCTTAGGTAAATCTTAATCGACAAATAAAACAAACAGATCACTAAACTCACCCTAAGGTTGGCTTTTGTGTTTTGTGAATCAGCCACTTTATTTGACATGGTTGGAGGGGGTCTGAAACCAAAGCGATTTGTTCTTGCATTGATGCTGTTGGTTTCTTTTTTAGGTCGAGCCAAACGTGGAGTCCCTGAAAATAAAGTCAATAGTAAAATAAATTATATTACAGAAAATATTTAAATGGAATATTTGTGTTTACATAATGGGATTTAGATTGTGGGCACACATTAATTACACTCAGGGATACCGGGATATCGATGGTACATTGTTATTTTTATTTCAGAATTTTTAGTTGTAACACAGTCAAACTATATTCAAAACTATACAAAAATTAAGGTAAAACTTCACTAAAATTAAAAGCCAATTGAAAAATCTGTTTTAAGCTATATGGGCTCTGTAGCCTAAATGTATACTCTGTCTATATTTAAAGAAATATTCACTTTTTCAACAAGGAATTTTCACAAAGATTTGAACATAATTAGTATGCATTTAATTCTTACATAATTAACTGAATCTATTGTGTCATTAAGTTACTTCAGGCATGACGAGTGATAATTCATATCAATAAGTACAAGGACAGGCCAGTAAACAGTGAAAGTTTGAGACCAAACACACACAAGTGGATTTACATGGGCCAAGGACATGCGTTAGCTGGACAAGAGCATCTTTAATGTAAAATATTAATTTCACACCACATCTGTTCAACATGTGGTGCATTACATGACAGTAATATTGTGTAAACATCTGCCCTTGAGGTGTTTCTATGCCAGGATGGCTCCATGTGGGTAGTTTAGCCTTGAAACTCATTGTTATGTCTACGATGACTGTACCTCCACAATTATGGTATTTCCTTTTTGCATTAAAGCTTATATTGATTGTTGGTAAATAGAATAAATTCACTTCAAAACCTTGAGATTAAATTGTTATTGTATAAATAAATAGCCCTGTACTTAGTTAACAATTGATTTTAAAGGTGGAAAAGTCATCCATTTTACATCGAATGAAATGTTTATTGTAATAGATGTACAAAAGTGAGACAGTTATAACATAAGTTATTTTTTCAAGGTTACAACTACAGTATTAGCTAGTATTTCAATAAGTGGTGGAGTTGTAAAATGCCCTGGAGAAACGTGTTTCCTTGCGTTCCTACTCCACTGTTTTCAATACTATTCTCATGAAATAATATTAGACACGTAAAGGTATTGGTAGAGATATTGCTTAAACTTTTGAGTGGTAGACTCGGATCTTCAAGAAACAAGTTTCAAAAGGATACATTATGTGTTAGATACTTTTTTATCACTAGCCTTGCTTCTCCAAATAATTAACTATGGAGACCAGTACTAAAATACAGTGATTTATAAGTCTATTCCTATTCCAAGAAAAATTTGTTGAAAAAATAGAGCATTTACCATTTCAAGCTTGTGATTGTGATATGGTTGAAATACCTGTTCGTGTGGTAGAGTCATTGTCTTGGTTGTTGGGTACGGGCGGAGGAAGACCTATGGGGTTGTTGTTGTTAGTTGAGGCTAGGGCAGGCTTTTTGAAACCAAAGGATGTGGCTGTGCCACGGTACACTTTGTTCTTCTTTTCCATCTGAAACAATAAAAAACCAATGATGATCAAATTAAAAAGAAAAAGAAAATATTAAAAATACAATCTGAAATACAAATATTAACAGCTGTTATCCAACACATGGTTTGCATGTTCATTAAAACATTTGAGAGTTTTTGAAATCACAGGGCGTCGGGCGTCCCATAACTTAATAGAGCGGAGGCTGGCGTTTACCCCCCCTCCCCCCCCCGTGGGAATTTTCGACATATACATTTTTTGGTTTGTATTGACATGTACTTTAAGGTTTTAGGTGTTTGCCACTTGTGAATTACAGCATGTTCCGGAAAACACGAAAATATCATGAATATATATATTTAAAAAAATGGTTTTTCTTTAGCGAGTTCGTTTGGCTCTACAACCCGACCGATTTTCATGATTGAGGTCTCAAATTGAAGGTATTAACGCACAGATTTCACATCAAGCATCGGCATATAGTTGCCTACAGTCTCACTCGGCTTATACGTAAACAACATTTTTTCCCATGTATTTCTTATGGGAGTTAAATTTGGTTTTTCTTTTCCGAGTTCGTTTGGCTCTTCTACCCACCCGATTTTCATTATCGAGGTCTCAAATTGAAGGTATGCACGCACAGATTTCACATCAAGCATCAGTATATATTTATCAACAGTCCCACTCGGCTTATAAGTAAATTAAATTTACCCCCCATGTATTTCTAAAGGGAGTTAAATTTGTTTTTTTTCTTTTCCGAGTTTCTTTGGCTCTTCTACACGTCCGATCTTCATGATTGAGGTCTTAAATTGGTAGTATGCACACATATATTTCACATCAAGCATCATCGTATATTTATCTACTTTATTACTCGACCAAAAAACATAGGTTTGATATATTTTTTAATTTGTATTTCAATTTAAATTGTACAGTATTTTACCATTTGTAATTATATAACCCTATATATTTTGGTCTAAGAACCTTCAGTGAAATACCGGCTTTCATTTAAGATATTAGTTATTCAAATCGGACGGTTTTCAAGCAAACGCAAGGTGAACATCCAACATAAAAAAATATAAGGTTTTTCTATGATTGAATATCAATAGCTCCAGTATTGTTTAAGTTTTTTATATGTTTTAGACTCAAAATAATCAGTCAATTATAGGCTTTAATTTGAGCTATTGATCGTTTGATCGTTTGATCATTTGAATCAGTTAAGTTTAAGATACTGTATTACACAATCAAAAATAATCAATTTGATTATTTGTCGGATATGATATTTATTTTAACGCCGCAGTGCAGCATGGGTCCTTTAGTATAGATTTTTTAGTTTGTTTTGATTTGATTAGTTGATTCCTGTGCGTAGGACGGGCCCACAGCAAGTTAGAATTTAAAAATGCAAGTATGGTGAAGTCATCAGATTGTTCTCAGTGACATGCAAGCAAATGAAATGAAAATAAGTGAGCAAAGTATTTTGCAAGTACTGTACTTGATGCTTTTGAACAATGCATTATTCTGCTTGAAGTTGAAAACTGTGATCAGAATTCCTAGATGGTCTGTTTATCAGCTGGAAGACATGTACCCGAATCGGTGGAAGACAATTTACTCAATGTAGATAATATAGGGAAAGCTGCATGCAAACAGATTAGTTGAGATAAGAGCGATAAAAAATATTTTTCTGGAGTTTTACTGCTGTCCCAAGAACGTGATATTAACCTTGAGAAGCTGATGACATACCCATTAGATCCAGTACCATGGGCATCAGCCACTGTCGATGGATGCCCAACCAAAACAGAAAAGACCAAACTGCTCCATGCTTTGGAGAACAAGGGTATAGACAAACCTCTCAAGATTGAATAATGTATGTATGTAATTGACGGTATGGCTTACTTTTAGGTTCTTACTAATATTCCAGAAACCTCTGGTGAACTAGCACAGATTGCCTTCAGCCGTTTTCCGAAACTCAGCAGGATATACTTTATTGCGGATACCTATTTAGATGTAACTATTAAAACATTGAAAGAGAGAAGAGGATTTGGAGAAACGTTCTTAATGAGATGTCCAAAATCAAGATCCCACGGGATTGGAAAAAAATCCTAGCTAATGGTAAAAATAAAGAACAATGGGTTAACATGCTAAATAATGAATGGTCTCAGCACAAATATTCATAAATTCAAACAAGCTTCAATACACGTTTCTAGGGTAATGTAAGGTTGTTTTTGGTGATATTTTGAAATTCACCCCCCACCCACAAACAGGGTTGAAATTTTCTAAATGGCAACCCATATCAATCGGCACATTATTTTAAAGAGATTTAAAAAAATAAAATTATTGCCGCAAATCCGATTTTGATACGAGGAAAACAAAGTTTTAGACGTTAATTTTACTGGAACCTTACATTCCAGTAAAATTTACGTCTAAAATGTCTCAAATAAAATTTATTCAATTTAATTAGAATCTCTTAAAATTGCTTTCCTAGAGGTACTCTTTAAATCTAATGTTATTAAAATAAATTTAATTGAAAATCAATTCAGGCCAATTTGAAATCCGCATTGCCTGCAGGTTTGCTGCAGCGGGAGGTATTTTTTAACTTTTTTATTTTCATTTGAAGCCTTTGAATACATACTGAAGAAGTCCATAAAAATATTTCACCAGTAATTAACGAAGGCTACCCTTATGTAATTTTAATAAAACGGTTTTTAAATTGAACAGTTTTTCTTTATTTTCCGGAATACGCTGTAATTTAAAAGAGGCAAACAATTGAATTCTTAATCTGGTAGGTAATACCAACAAAAAAAAGTATAAGTCATGAATTCCCACGGGGGGGGGGGAGGGTTTCATATTGGTGGCTCATGGTCTATAAGAATTAAAATTAAAATTAAGATGATATTATGCTTTACAAATAGAAAACTATAATAACACAATCCCTTGAATTGAATGTTACACTTCTTACTTTGTGAATATAACTATCAAAATATATTAATTTAATTAGGTACAAAATTAATAAAGCTTGTTTACATTTATTACAAGACATTTAAATAAAATAAAAAAATACCCAAGCAAACTTAAATACTGGTAGTATAAACGTATCAAATATTTTGTACATCAACCATGAAGCTATATTTGTTTTTAATTCAACTAAACAATTCTGTTAGACAATTTGCTACTTGGCAGAATGATTCATTTCGCCGTAATACACTTAAATACAAATAAAAAATTTATTATGCGTAGTGTATATCATTATTTTAAATTACTTGCGAACAATGACATATTATTGTTATGTTAAAGGACAACCTTCAAATTAGCATTCCGTGAGTAAGAAAGAATTAACAACTGAATGCTAATTTTACAAGGAACACACTGTGAAGAAAAGAATGTGTTGAGGTGTTGAGTTTTAAGCCAAAGAGGTTTCCTAAGAGTTTTACAATCACTAGTAAATACAGTATTCTTGTCTTGTGCAAATGTTTTAAAAATGCAATAAACCCTATTACCATTAAAAAAGAAAAACTTTATAAATGTACTAGAGTTCACCTCGTGGTCAAAAACTCGACCTGGGTGGGGGGTGGGGGGTGTTAAGGTTTGAAAATGTAACATTTTTTGTATTTTTCCAGGAGTTGGGCCAGAGACCAACAACTGTGTACAATTTGAAGTCTCTTTGTTTATCCAGAAGTTGTCTAGAATTTCTATAACTGTGTGAATTGGTATTTTTATAAAATGTAAAATTCATTAATTTATAACCCAGATACTGGTATTTTTCCACATTACATTTTTAATTAGATTATATGTGTAATAAAATGCCATTAGAACATGTTTCTATTGTGTTTAGTTGGCAAGGTATGAGCGATGTTTTAGAATGAGCAGGCTCTACTTCCCCCTTCACTTTGTTTTGTGCATACTTCCTGGGAGGATGACAACATCGGATTTGGTCATCTCCAAGATGTCCCCAACAACAATCAGAAGTCAAAATGTGTTAAACTTTCTATGGCCGCTTTAGTAAATGGGGCCTGTGCGTTCGGACCGAAGGGCATAAGAGGTTTTAAGTTCGATGGGACCCCAAGCAAGGAAAAATTTCCTTGCAAAAATGTTATTAATTAACAGCTGTGTCTAAGGAATATGTCGTCCTTAGTCACTAACAAGACTACAAGGTCGCGCCACTCATCCTACACTCAACTCCATTCATACTTGACTTAAAATACCTATTTTGTAGGGTCGCCATTTCATTGAAAAGAAAGTATTATTCCAGCTATGTCTTCACAACTTTTAAGATTATTAAAGTTAACTGGATTATGATCAGGTTAAATCGCAGTTATATGGGGGTAGAAATCAAAATCAAACCGATTCAAGTTTTATTCTCCATAGAATTTTAGTAAAGTAAAATAAGCACAGTATTTGTGATAAGAAGGTATAGGCCCATTACCTGAAATCTAATAAAATCTGGGACAGTCTATGTAAGTGGATTTTTCTGTTATCTGTTTGTTTACTGATGATAAAGCTGTAAGTTATTGGCTGATATTTCTGCCAATGATCACTAGCACTTACAGCTCCATTAGTGCAAACAAAACAGTAAACAATAATTTTTCCTTTTGTACACCTTAGAAAGGGACAATGTTCTTTTTGAAAGTTTGACTTTATCCAAACATATACTTGTTTTATGCTTAAAACCTTAGAGAATGTACAAATAGCAATAATAAATCTAGAGTAGCTTTTAAAATAAAGTAGACATACCCCAAAAATACACAAATAATCATAAATTGATAGGAACCAACTTCTAAAATACATTTTATTTAAGCTATATAATAAACAAAAATAATATTTGTTGTTTGTATAAAAATATATTTTCATGGTTGTTCATACGAACATGAAAAATCAATCTATGTTTATTAATACTTATATATCAGTCATCACAACAATTTAAAAGAACTTAAAAAATACATTTATGTGATCAAAGAAAAATTTTTAATTTTACATTTCTAAAGATAAATTTGTAATTTATTTTAGAGTTGATCATACTTTTTTGAACTTAGCAAAACCTT